AATTTCTAGGAGGTATGGGCCACCGCCCGATTGGGAAGGGCCGCCACCACCACGAGGCACAGAAGTTTTCGTTGGTAAGTTTGTCTGCATTTCGCAGTGAGTGGTTGAAGATTGAAGACGTTAAACTTGACGATTTATCCAATGTTTACATGTGATTATATCCATCATTATAACATAAGTAAATAAAACACCGAAAAATTCATCATAAGGAGAAGTGGTATTGCAACTGGATGAAAATGAATCCAACAAGTAGATCAGATCAGTGAATTTTTGAATAAATGATCAGAAATGAAGTGATCAAACAGATTAATTGATATAGCGTTTATTTATTGAATTCTTCAGTATTTAATTACTCCAAAAGATATATATTAACATTTCAAAATGAAAAATAACATTTCCATAAGCACGAAGCACAATATCATTCCAGGTAAATTACCTCGTGCCATTTCGGATGCACATTTGATAGAGGTGTTGAGTGGCGTTGGTTCATTGTATGAGGTAAGGCAAATGCTGGAGGCAACCGGATCGAATCGTGGATACTGTTTTGCTATTTATCAGTCTCTTGATGGTGCTAAGCGTGCTTGTAGCGAGGTTCGTTTCCAAACGTTCCATTCACTTTTTACAGTCTCTGTTCATGATTGTACAGTATTTCAAACGGATTTCGTTATTTTTGACTCAGTGCTATCTTTTCAAGAACCATATTTTCCCAAACACACTCAAGGGACCTAACAGATATGATTTGGATTTAGAGAATCAAGTTAGCTGTCCTCATCGCCTCGGTGTTTCAGTTGAACTCCGATCGCGGTCATAGCGATAGCACCATTATATTATGGGATATTTCTGTTACTGTTTGTGAAAACTGCGATGAAACAGTATGAATTTAATCGTGTTCCTCATATTTTTGCAAAGAATTGTGTTTCTTCAGCTAAATGATTTGGAAATAGCGCCTGGTCGACGCATCGGTGTGGTGAGGAGTGTGGACAATCGACGACTTTTTATCGGTGGAATACCGCGTGAAATAAAGTCGGATCAAATTTTGGTTAGCGCATCATAGCTTTTGATCACATTTCACTATGTGCATTGTTGCGCGGATAACTTAATATCAAAAATTCCCATTTCATTCGGATTTATTGAATGTGCGAAACTTTCAATGCAACTAATCAGCATGGAAATGCATTTGTTCATGTGATGTAACTGAATGTGATGCAATGTTTCAATCTCTTCGCATAATGTGCTCATTTCTAAGCACATCTGAGATTTAATTTACATCTTACCATCGAACATTAACTAGTCACAACGGAGTTATGAAGTTGATATTCGAACTGATCAAGTGAATTTGTTTCGACGACATGGAATTTACTTGAAATGTGTTGTATAATTAGCATTTTCACTCAAGATTCAATTTTTCACTAAAGTTGACTTCTTTTGATCTGCTTTATGAGCAGTACCCATCTAATTTGTTGGAGCCAAAATATGCCATCAGATTGTATAACTGATCGATCAAGAATTGTGTTCGAGTGAATCCTTCAAAATAGGGATTACTTCATGAGAACCTTTTGAATCTAAGGCAGAAGCGTTTGAAACTTGATGAATTCAGGCGGAAATAAAGAAGTGTACAGATGGCGTTGAAGGTGTTTATGTGTATCCATCAATAACTGACAAATCCAGAAATCGAGGCTTCGCTTTCGTTGAATATCAAGACCACAAGACGGCAGCACATGCACGCAAAAAATTCATCCAACAACCACTCGTGGTGAGTTCCACATAAACTGAGGAATATTTAATTGGATGCAAATTGGTCAACTTATGGAATTGATTGAGACGAATATCATGACAATTTCTAAACTTAGAAACAACTTCTTTCTGGTTTTACTGACGGAAACATGATATTGATAGTCATCGTAATGAATACGATAAAAAGTGAGAATATGCAGAAGCATATTAGTATAATTACAGTTATGGGGTAAAGTTGCTTGCATTGACTGGGCTGAACCAGAGCAACAAGTGGACAGCGATATCATGGAAAATGTTAGTGGCGAATTTTTGGATTTGGATTTGATATTTGGATTTGACGATATTCTGTCAGATCCCCAATCATGACTTCACTCTTTCTTCTGTTCAATTCGATCTATCCTTTCGCTTGTTTGTGCTCTTACTCTCCACATGAGTATTTCGTTAATACCGTCAGAATATGCGATATTCGAGGAAAATCCAAATGTATATCCGGGATAACTTGATGAAAATATTCCCCGAATACTGCGAATACGTTCCGTTGAATAGTTATTAAAATTGAAAATATTTCTCATGGCGTATTTAAGAAAGACTTATAGCCATTCACAAATAGGTCCTATCTAATACGATAGTTCTCAGCTGCTTCTGGGTAATCACCCATTTAGGGTAAAATTAGGGTAAAATCGTGGTCAAGTTGCCTTACTCTCTTTCTGAACGGTGCGATTCTCATTTGAGGCTATAGCGGGGCAACCTTGAAAACTGGCAGTAGGAAGGAAATGTTGCGATAATTTCAAACATGCTATGCTATTTTTCGCCAGATTCACCCGCTCAAAGGAGTGTTTTTGATGAGTCCACTGAAGAGCAAAACATTGGAAGGCTGAAAAATATAACAGATATATTGTTTGAAGGTGAAAATATTGTATGTTCGAAATTTGATGCTGAATACAGACGAGACGACATTAAGGAAGTACTTCGAGATGGGCGATACGCATTGTATCGAACGGGTTAAGAAGATACGCGATTTTGCTTTTGTTCATTTCACAACTCGTGAGAAGGCACTGAACGCGTTGAATAAGTTGAATCATACAAAACTGGTGAGTGGAAGAGATGGAATTCATTTGAATCGGCAAGAAATTCAGAGATGGAATTCATTTTTCGCATTGTGAATTCATTTTTGATCACAAATTTATCGGCAATATGGTGATCGATTTTGGTGATCTAAACAGCGAAACTGATCTATCTCTGTTTTTAATTTTTTGAAGATTGGAGCGTTTAGTTTCCAGAAGATTTGCTACAGCAATCAAAACTTTTCTGTTTTCTAGGATGGCTCAACGATAGAAGTTTGCCTTGCAAAACCACCTGAGCGTGTCTCATCACGGATCAGTCGTATTCTGTCCAGTGATGATTCTGGTGTAGGTTTTCTCCTTAGAATTTCATTTAGGCGTTCTGAAATCTTGGAGAATCCCTCTGAAACCATATGAAAAACCTGTCCAAAATTCCACAGTTGTACAATAGCTTTCAAAAACTGCTTAGAGCATAGTCTATCATTCTTTTTGTGTTATTCACGTTTGACTATATATCTGTTTATGAAAA